TCGTATGCTGTACCATGGCTTGGATGACTGGGCCTCCTTGTTTCTCATATCTACAATGTGGAGCCTCAGCACTGCACTTAATCTAGCAGGTAAAAAAATGGTTACAGAAACCAGCCCTTGAAGAAACCTGGCTGCAACTCCTCCTAAACTCAGGAGTGATGATACCAAAAATGTTGAAAACCATCTCCTCTCAAAGGGTCAGGCATCCCTGGCATCTCACTTACTAGGACTGGGCAGCAAAATTCCATAGTGAAGAAGTTGCAGATGGATAAGCCACTGAGAACTTGCAACTTGCAAAATGACAACAGGAAGACTTGCAGCTGTATTTTGTTAACATTGAGTGGAAGATAGTTAGTGGCATTTTATATAATAGCTTTATGGCTTTGAATAAGTTTATTACATCATTTAACTTTGTACCTGGGATGGATACATCTAGCCAGACAGCTTTTAATAGAAACGCAATCTGCACTGTTCTTAGCTGCGAAGGCTTCCTCATTTCTCCTCTGTGGCAACAGGTCTGCGGTTTGTGGAAAAGGATCTCAGGCAAAGAAAGTGCCTGGCCCAGAGGAAGCACTTAGTAAATGGTTTTCCATTTTTCTTCTTTAAGGATGGATTTCAAGGGCTTCCATTATGCACCAAGGAAAGGAGAATGGGGTTACCTCAGTGTTACTCAATGGCATCAGGCACTATATAAACCAAGATAAATTAGCACAGACAAAGAGGGAGCAAAGGAGGTGCAGCCCCAGAGAAATCTTGCTGAACGCAAGAGTTAGGATGCAAGGTCAGGGTCTTCAGAACATATTTAGGAGGGGATATTTTAGTTTCCCTCTGCTTTCACATTATACTTGTGACTCTGATGATAGCCAACTGCCACTGCCTGCCGTGTGGCTAGCACTTTGCAATCATAAGGCACCTTAATAAATATTACATCATTTGATTGTCAAAATTCCACTGACCAGACTGAGCCTGGTAGAGGTTAATAGGCTTGCACAAAACCTTATCCCCAGGGCAGTGACATGGCTAGAACCTGGTTTTCTAATGACTTTTTCTTATTCTGTCCCTTCTTTGCAGGTACGACGTTGGTCCAGGGAAGGAATCACTATGACACAATTGTGGGCAAACTTGCACACAGGCAGGTTTTGATGGGTTATTTCCCAAGGTTAACAGCTGACCATTTCTGTCCTCAAGGTACTCCTTTAGGTAAATTAAGAGGTATTGCCCACGCCGCACTGCAAGTCAAGTGTTCTTAAGAAGGAAGAGGCCAATGGGTAGAATGGGAAACTGGAAAAGGGACTGGAAGGTGCAGGGGGGTGGGGAAGTGCACAAGAAAATCTCCTTTTCCTGCTTCCTTACATATACCCACCAGTAAGCCACCAGAGGACAGGGGAAAGATGGGGCACAGACCTGCAAGTTCATAGCTAGGAGGAGCTACACTAAATCAAGAGAATTTTAGAATTAGATGCCATAAAATTAAGAGGGAATATAACCAAGACCTGCCTTTTCCCACTGGATTTGACTCACATGATCTCCTAAAAGTTATACACATCTGTTTTTCTGGAATGAACTCTGTACACACAAGCCACACTGCCTTCTTGTTGCGACTTCCTTGAATTTCATCTTGTGTATGCTGCCAGGTAACACTGGGACCAAAAGTTCAGTACTTGTTGTGACTTCCTTGAATATCATCTTGTGCATGATGCCAGGTAACACTGTGACCAAAAGTTTGGTACTTATCCAAGAGGCTGAATGAAGAATGAGGACAAGTGGTTTGAGGAAAAGGAAAGAGAAGTTTATTTATTTGTTAGCAAATAAGGAGGCTGGAAGACTCTTTTATCTTAAAGAACTGTCTTCCTTTAAGTAGAAAAACAGTTGTTTTTAAACAGGATTTTTAGTTTGGGGTTATTGTTGTTTAGCATCTCTGATGAAGATGATCTCTTGACCTCTGTCCCAATAATTCTGTTGAACCATCTCTTGTGGTTTATGATACTAGAAAACAAAGAAGAAAGAACACTCCTCTGCCCCTCTGATTACTGGTCTCAAGCAGGAATGTAGGTTTTAATTCCTCAAAAAGGGTGAGGGGTTTTTAGATCCTTACTTCTGTTACAACACCACACCCAGTTTTCTATGATGTTGTTTAGCCAGTAGTCATAGGTTATAATTAAAAGGAAACTAAATGCTGTCTTTACTACTCAAAGATGACACTGCTGACTGCTATCAAGGAAGTCCACTTTCAGTTATTTTTGGGTATATGAATGAATTTCAACAAATCTCATTCCCTCATTTGGAAAGACCTCTCCCAATGTCATTTCCACCCATATGTCAGCCACAGTTAAATTCCATCAATGTTATCAAGTTTCAAGTCAATTCCATTCCCATCTCCATAACTACTAACTATATCCTTGGGTGTTTAATCAAGTATAATCGTGGGCAACTCTTCTTCTGCTTGACTTCTTCACTGAAGATGCAATGATTTCCCAGCTGGATTACAAGTGCACCAGTTTTCTCTGTTCACCACCCTCTAAATCAATAATCTTTCTTTTCGTTTGACATAGATCTTTTGCTCACTCATTTTCTTCTCTCTGGAATCCTCTTCCTCCTCCTGCAATCCCAGGGATTTGTCCCATGCTCTCTTCTCTTTTGCACTCTACACTCATTCCCTGGGGCAATCTTACCCAACTCATGGCTCCATTGCCCAAATCCTTATCTTGTACTAGGTTGTGCTGTTGAGCTCCAGACCCACGTGTTTTCTTACTGGACAACTCTAACTGAATGATTCAGTCATCTGGACTCAGTACATCTAACCCTGACTCCATTATCTTTCCCTTCACATCTGCTTTTCCTTTGGGTGGTTCCTTCTCAGTGAATAAGCCCAATATCTGCCAAGATCTTAATACAACCAGAAATCTGGGAGTCTAGTTTATATTTTTCCCTCCCTTTAACCTCATACAACTAAAAGTCATCTCCTCAATAGCACTCCAATCTGCCTGCTTTACCATCCTCATTACCTTACACAAACACACAAAACATTTACTACATGTCTGAATGACTAGAAATTGCTGGTTCAAAGGGCATAAACATTTTTGAGGCTCTTGGTATATGCTGAAAATTGCTTCCCTAGAAGATTAATTTAACATTTCAAATTATGTTGACACAACTGATTGAAAGAGTGATGCTATTAATATGATTTTTAGTTTTTTCCTCTGAAAAACACAGACCATGCCCTTCACCTCACATAGAGATGAAGATACAGGGCCTGCCAGTGCTTGAGGGAAGTCTGTCCCTCCATTTCCCTGAAGACCATATCTGCTAACTATGGAACTTTGGAAAAGTGGCACAATCCTACCCAATTCCAATGTAGGTCTCCCTCCCTTCCCTAAGTGCTGTGAGGCTTGCAGGTAAGGCATCTTTGTGTATCCTACTGTGTGTAGCACACTGTGTTGCTCAGACAGGAAGCTGAACACATTTATTACATTGAGGCATGCTTCGTAAATAGGACGCCTAACTCGAAAGTTGGGGCCCATTATACTGAGCTGAGTTAAATCTGAAAATAAAGCAGTCTCTTGAGGCTGATAGCCCAGTAATTTTCTCCAAATAGACAGGATGCACATTAATACCCAAATTTATTCAAGCAGTCTGAGAAGCTGTCAACCACAGCAAATGAAGTCAACTAATTTTTGAATTAGTCTCTGGAGAACAGAGCAGAGGCCAAATTGCTTCATTGATGGTGCCTTCACATCAGCTCTACCTAATGCTTTTTTTTTTTTTTTAATATGTGCTGGTATCTTTTATGTCAAGTGATTTAGAAGATTTTATGAAGAGAGTAATTTGAGATAGAGCTATAACGTTGTATTCAGTCACTGTCAGAAGATATATTTAAAAGAAATTTCAATATTTAGGAAAATGAGGGAGGGAAGAGAGTGAAGTATATTATAAAATGACAACAGCAGAGGAAGAAGAAGAGAGAAAGTGTTTAGAAGCATACCAACTATACTAACAGCTCAGATAGCAACCTAATTTCATTTGATCATCCTGGTCTTCAGGGTGTAACTTGGGAATGAAATATTTAACTCTTTGGCTAATAAAGAGGCAATTTTGACAGAATTTTGAGCAGCTACTTCCTATATCAAATACATGTGTAGGTCTGTGAAATACTCATCCTGTTTGGAAAATAAGGCAGCGAGAAAATCATCTAAAAATAATAAATAAATACATGCCCACCTGTATACTCAGCGCTGTGGGTATTAAACATGTTCGCTAAGGGCATTATTTTGAAACAGAAATTTCTTAATAGTTTTGCTTAGACTCCTTCTATTGCACAATGAATTTAGCCATTTAGGAATAAAGCCTAACATATCTAAACTGCCCTAGAGGAAAACCAATGTGAAATTATGAGAAAAAATTATATATATTAAATCCTTTTTTTTTTGAGGCAG